CCTGCAGGAAAAGCATAAGCAGCTGGCATGGGTGATGACTGCAGATGAATTTTTATAGATCTACAAGCCTCTTCAGTCAGCACTCCTCCATAAAGTCATAACATACCACAGTTACATTTCTCTGCAGAGATACCCTATTGTATTTGTACATATGAAGAGAGATGTTTGAGCTCTGCCAGAAAATTACTGACCAAGCCAGCATTTTACTAGGGAAGCTTTCAACTGACAACCTGAGAGTCAAATCAGCTCTCCTGAAGGGTATTAGGCTGAAGCTCAGCAGCCAATCCAGAGACCAGAGGATGTGCAGAGGAAAGTGTCGCTGTGGCCACAGGCTTCACTGGACGTGCATTCTGGGAACCCTGTCTTCCGCTTTTCTACTTATAATGGCCATCCAGCAAAAGTAGTTGCAGGCCAGGGTTTAGGAGAAGAGAGAGCTAGAAAACATCACCAAGGCTGTGGTCACACGGAGCATTAGCCACGCTACAGAGATGGAAGATAGGCGGATTTTCTGGGCACGATCACACCGCAACATCTGGGAAGCGTAGAGCTCCCGTGGCAAACCTGAGGCTTCCTGCCGAAGATGCGGAGTTAAAAACTAGTACCTCCGAGGTACTAGTTTCCGGAAACCGCGGAGCAAGGGCTGGCGTCTGATTGCGTTTCCAGTGGTGGCATCCGGCGCCTGCCCATGTCCCTTCGCAAACAGGTCCCCCCCCCCCAAGTCTCCACAAGATGCGCACAAGCACCCAATGGCACATGTGCACAAAGAGAAAAGCGAAAGTGCAGTTTCGGCTTAAAAAAAAATGACCCAGTTTGTCATGGCAGCGGCGCCGAGCCATTGCTGGTGCGAAAGCGCTGCGCCGCTTCTTTGCCGCGCTGCAGGATCATCATGTGATCACCACCCTCGTTTACCCGCCGACACCGAGGGAAGGACCCGTGGTGTACCGCCAGCGCGTCTGATCGCGTAATCACGGATCAAATTGCGCCGGGGCAATTAGCCACGCCTCCCCCCGGAGAGCTAGAAAACATCACCAAGAAAGTTTAATTATTCTCAGATGAGAGCCAGAATAGGCACGGGAACACAAGGTTCGCATAGATGTATGAAGTCTTGGGTTCAGGTTCTGGTACGGCAACAAAGTAGCCCTGGGCAAGTCACTCTCAGTCTCAGTTCAAAAATCTGTAAAGTACTGGAGAACAGCAACCCCTTGCCCTGGGAAAACGTTGTCACGAGACACACATTAACAGCTGTAACACTCTTTGCAAAAAAATTTTTAAAAAGCTATATAGATGATATAACTGGTAATAAAAATGCTGCCGTAGGTGCAAAAGCAGCAAAGGTTTTAAAGGGGCTCACAAGGTACGTCAAATTACCACATCGCTTCCCCGGAGATTCAAATAACTCAGAAGCAAATGGGTGAAAAGAAAAGAAGCAGCAGCAAAGAAGCCAGAAACAGAATGGTCTGTGCTACATTCTGGAACCAATACCAGGCGTGTCTCTGTGTGACAAAGGATGCTTTCTAGCACTGTGTGTTTAATGGCATTATGAAGACATCTCATACAAGGTCATTGGGAAAGAAATGTAATCACTTGCATTAAAATGTATTATCTCAATTAAATTAGTGTCACATTTTAAATTAAATTTAAAACAGCAAATTAAATAAAGAAGAGGACAACATACTCCCAAACTTTGTTTGCTGGTTTTGCCAGGCGAGCGTAGGGGGAAACTGAGGGAGAATGTGCACAGCTACGTCTCCTACCAGTTTCAAGCTGCAAAGCTACAGGCAGCTCTAAATGTTGCTGTCTCTATTTCAGGGAAATCGGGAAGAATGAAGGCAGTGAGCACAATCCATCAAGGACTACCCTTCCACATGCCACCCCAGTCAATTAGGGTTTCATGAAAGTCATCTTCATTCTTCCCCCATTTCACTGCAGATTCCTCTCAACTCTTGAGCCAGAAACTTGAGCCAGAAATCTAGAAGAGACTGACCAAGAGAGAGATCTTGGAGTCGTCGTAGATAACTCAATGAAAATGTCAAGACAGTGTGTGACTGCAATAAAAAAGGCCAACGCTATGCTGGGGATTGTTAGGAAGGGAATTGAAAACAAATCAGATGGGCCCTAGAAAGGTAGGGTGGGTGGGTGGTAGATAGATAGGTAGATGGATAGATAGAGGGGTTTGGAGAAAGAGAGGAAGGAAGGGAGAAATAAAGAAGGGTGAAGGGGGGAGACACAGACAGACAGTCAGTAAGCGAGACAGACAGGGCGGGGGGGAGGGAGGAGGGAAGATGGGGGAGGGGGAGACATAGACAGACAGTCAGAAAGCCAGACAGACAGGGAGGGAGGGGGGGAAGAAGTCAAAGCGATGGGGATGAAGGGAGAAAGTGAGAGAGGGAAAGAATGAAGGGAGATCGGGAAAAAGAAAGAGAGAGTGAGGAAGGGGGTAGTGGGGAAAAAGGGGCATCGGGGTTGGCTCAGTGCTGCCACCGCCCCTCGCCTGCTGCCCCCGGAAAGCTGGCGAAGGTGGGGGGGCAGCGAAAATTAAAGCCGGCCTTCCACCGATTCCCTCCAGCCCTGGCTAGTTGGGGGGGGGGTTTGGAGTCGGGCGGCAGCGAGCGGCTTATTGCCGCCGCTCTTCAAGTGCTCCCCGGATCCACTCACCCACCAGGTGGTTGTCAGCAGTAGTCTGACGTCTGAAGGGACCGGGTGCAGAGGCAGGGCTGCAGCCTTTGTGTTCTGAGGTGGGACTTAGGCGACACAGCCAATGGAAGCTGGGGAAGCTTCTGACGGACAGTTCAAGCCTCCAAACACTGTTGGTGCGCATTTTCTCTCCGCTGCGTGACTCCTGCGTCTTACTCAGTTATATATAAGGGAGAGATAGGTTGCCATCCCCATGATGGGGGCGGGTTCCCCCCCAATTTCCAGCCCTCCGATACGCCCGCTGCCCCTGCCCCTGAAGAGCTCCCCAGCGTCCGGCATGTCTGGTGCGATGACATCACCCAGAGGTGACTTCACTGCCGCTGGGCATGTCGCCAGGGGGACGTTCTAGCATTTAGCAAAAAAAGCTCTATGGTAGAGCGCCCCCCCCCCAGTGATGTGCCTAGCACAATGGCATCACTTCCAGGTAATGTCATTGCAAAGCGTGCGGAAAGCACACACACCAGAGCCTCCAGGAAGGGAGCCTCCAGAGTTCCCCCACTGGCAGATGATATGGACCAGGCAACCCTATTCAATGAAAGCAGCACTGAACCAACTCCATAGGTCATAAACAGAGAGCAGCAAACAGTTCTGTAGTTATGGCTCTTAGGCAGTTCAGGAAACTGAAACAGAAAGGAAAAAAAATGAAAGATGCAGTCCACTGAATGGCGAGGAATCAAGAGGTTGATCCAGCTATGCAATGGATTCCCCACGGTGGATCTGGCCCCGTGGGGAACCCCGCCCCGATGTGCACATCACCAGGAAGTGACGTTAGGATGCCGAGCATGCTGGGGGCGGGGCCATGACCATCGGAGGGAAAACTCTATGGTAGTGTGCCCGGCGTCCTAACGTCACTTCCAGGTGATGTTTGTGCAGTGTGTGTGCGTGCTCCAGTTGCCGCCCGGGAGTCCCCTGCTGCGGCGACTGCAACGACTTGGCAACCCTAAATGAGAAAGTCAAAGACATTCGAGAGAAAGACGACAGAAGGAACCACAGCTTGACCTGCTGGACCCCAAAGCAGGGAGTCCATGGAGAAGACACCTGAAAATGGTTTTATTTAGGATAGCGTTTGATTAAAGCAGTCCTAAACTGTGACCTTAAATTTTGGTTTGACGCATGTTTTTTATTTGTATTGTAAGCCGCCTTGAGCTCCGTAAGGAAGAAAGGAGGCTAATAAACGTTTTACTAAAAGGATAGTGGACAGGCAGCTTCTTGGGAAAGGTAAGCAAGAGACTGGGAAGGGGGCGGAGGAAGACAACAGGCTTGCCAAGTCCCCCCGGAAGTGACGTGACCACGCCAGGCACGCTGGGGGCGGGGCCACGGCTCTTGGGCAGATCAGAGTTTTCCCTCGGGTGGTCGTGGCCCCGCCCCCAGCATGCCCGGCGTGGTCGCGTCACTTCCGAGTGATGAGGATGCGGTGCGTGTGCGCAAAGCGGAGTCCCCCGCTGCGGCGAAGATCGCACTTGGCAACCCTAGAAAACAATGATGGCGGAGACTCTGTTAAGGGGAAGGCCCGGTCAGTTCAGCAGAGGAACCTGTCTTAGAGGTCTGAAACACACAAGGATTTTTTCCCCATGTTGAAATGCAGAATGCAAATTCAGGAAGGAAAGAAGCTGGAGCAAGGCGGCTGGATCTCAACCCCACAGAAGAAGAAGAAGAGGAGGAGGAGGAGGGGATTGGATTTATACCCCATGGCCCTTCACTACCCAAAGGTGTCTCAGAACGGCTCACAAACTCCTTTCCCTTCCCCTCCCCACAACAGACACCCTGTGAGGTGGGTGGGGCTGAGAGAGCTTTGACAGAAACGGCTCTTTTTCAAGGACAGCTCTTATCAGAACTACGGCTTGCCCAAGGTCATCCAGCCAGGTGCAAGTGGAGGAGGAGTGGGGAATCACACCCGGTTCTCCCAGATTAGAGTCCACGCACTTAACCACTACACCAAACTGGCACTACACCAAACTGTGCAAAAAGACAAAACACATAGTGTTCTGCATTCTACATAACTCAACTGATTGTGCACTGTCAGCTTCTAGACACCTGACACCAGGGTTCCCTCTAAGCTGAGTGAGTGTGAGCTAGCTCAGTTTTTTAGCCTGCAGCTCACAGATTTTTGTCTTAGCTCAGGAAGGAGGGCTCCAGAGCAAACTAATTTATGCAACAGCCAAATCGCTTGCTCGGAATTTTGATGCCAGTAGCTCACAAGACTTCACAGCTTAGAGGGAACATTGCCTGACGCACACTGGCAACATACTCAGAATGGCTGTTGAACTAAAAAAAACAGACTGTGAAAAACAGAAGGCAACACATACTAATGCTTGGTCCATCTCCTTTCTGATATCCGCTACAATCTGGGCGTTATCCCCGCGTGCCAAGACTGCATCCAGGGAATGGTGCTGTATCGACTCCAGGAGGCGAGCTGGGTGACCGAGGCGTAGAATCCGCTCCTTATGGCTAGCAAGTTTTTCAACCAAGTTGTCCACAGCAATGTTAGACGGAGCACAGCACAGGACCTTGAGGAGGAAACAGAGGAAGCCCCGCTAACGTGGCGGCTTCAAGCAAAAGCTGAGCTCCAGACAGTTTAAAGAGACCGCCTCGGCATCAGAGACCTGAATGGAAATCCCCGCATTGCCAGGAAGCTCACTCAGTGACCTTGGTTCTGTCACGCTCTCTCGGCTGACCCTTTCTCACAAGGTTGCTGTGAGGACAAAATAGGGAGGGGGGGAAGCATGTATGCTTCTCTGAGGTCTGCAGAGGAATGGCAAGGAAAAAAGGTAAAGGTAAAGGTAAAGGTTCCTTTGCTCGAAAGCCAGTCGAATCCGACTTTAGGGTTGCGGTGCTCATCTCCGTTTCAAAGCCGAAGAGCCAGCGCTGTCCGAAGACGTTTCCGTGGTCATGTGGCCGGCATGACTAGACGCCAAGGCACACGGAACGCTGTTACCTTCCCACCAAAGTGGTACCTATTTATCTACTTGCAATGTCTTGCTTTCGAACTGCTAGGTTGGCAGGAGCTGGAACTAGAGACGGGAGCTCACCCCGTCATGCGGCACCCGGGTCTCGAACTGCTGAACTACCGACCTTCCACAGCCTGCAGTTCAGCGTCTTAACCACTTGAGCCACCGCAGCTCCCATGAAAAATCCCTGATATTTGCAGGTAAGGGATCCTGAGCAGCATAGCCCATAGGACTGTATTGCTCCACCTCACCCGGGATGGATTATTCTACTGTGACTGGCGGTGGCTCTCTAGAGTCTCAGGACCTACTCCATGCAGAGCATGAGCTGTGCCCCCAACCCCCCCCCCCACGCACACGCATGCAGGGCAGTGGCCTCCTCCGCTCTGGGATCAGATCTGCTGCCGGTCCACAGACAGTCTGCATCTTACCACTCTGATTTGGGAATTATGCAGCGCCTTAGGATTGATACCCGCTTACTCACTTTCAGGCCTTGCTGCACAGCTTGGAGTATGATCTCCACCACAGTGGTTGTTTTGCCTGTTCCAGGTGGCCCGTGGATGATCGAGAGCTCTTTCTGTGCCAGCGAGAAGCGAACAGCCTCCTCCTGGGAGGCATCCAGTGATTCATTGTAGAACTTCAACAGCCCTGTAAGAAGCAGCAGGAGAAACATTTGCTCAGATCTCAGTCCCCGCAAAGTACATTTGCACAAGAAAGCAAGCACGACGGTCCACATAAGAGGCTGTTCTTGGAAGCACCGTTGCATTAGATGGCCAGAATCGCCTTTTCAACAAAGGAAACACCCTGATCAACCCACGGGGGAAGTCAGGATCCCCTGTGGGCGTCTCCACTGAGATCTGGCTTCCTTTGAGAGAGAGAGAGAGAGCCTGTTTGGTGTAGTGGTTAAGTGCACGAATCCTAATCTGGGAGAGAACCGGGTTTGATTCCCCACTCCTCCACTCGCACCTGCTGATGTGACCTTGGGTCAGTCACAAGCTCTGGCACAGCTGTCCTTGAAAAAGAGCAGTTTGTGTCAGAGCTCTCTCAGCCCCACCCACCTCACAGGGTGTCTGTTGTGGGGAGGGGGAGGGAAAGGGGTTTGTAAGCCGCTCTGAGACTCCGAGTGAAGGGTGGGGTATAAATCCAATCTCTTCTTCTTCTTCTTCTTCTTAGCGGCAAATATCTCAGTCTTCAGGTTTCATGTTCCAGAGACAAAATGTCTCAGCAAACCATCACTGGGAACAGAACGTCAGACAGCAATGCCAGATTGCATTTCTAAAGAACACTGCACCATTTACAGTAGGCCCATCGTGATCTTCCTGAGAACTTGTAAAATATGTGTGCTCTCCTTCATTAACAGGTCAAAGCACATGCCATACCTTCACAACACGATTCTTTGAATCACAAATGAAATACATCCACGACTCAGAAGTTCTTTGGTATTTAATATTCTATTATAGTGAATGGGTCAGACCCAGCAGTCAGTAGTCACAAGGATCAGAAGCCTTTCCCTGAATTGACCTCTTCTGTTGGCAGCTCCACTGAGTGAAGCAGTAAGGTAAAGGTTCCCTTGCTCGAAAGCCAGTCGAGTCCGACTCTAGGGTTGCGGTGCTCATCTCCGTTTCCAAGCCGAAGAGCCAGAGCTGTTCGAAGACGTTTCTGTGGTCATGTGGCCAGCATGACTAAATGCCGAGGCGCACGGAACGCTGTTACATTTCCTACCAAAGCGGTACCTATTTATATCTACTTGCAATTTCTTGCTTTCAAACTGCTAGGTTGGCAGGAACTGGGGCCAGAGACAGGAGCTCACTCCGTCACGTGGCACTCGGGTCTCGAACTGCTGAACTCCCAACCTGCCTGCCTGCAGTTCAGTGTCTTAACCACTTGAGCCACCGCAGCTCCTATGAGTGAAGCAGTAGGAGACTTAGTTTTATCCCTTTACCCCTCCTCAGCTCAGCCCTTTGGCCCCTGTGGCGGTTAGTCCAAGCTGCTCCCGTGACCCTAGGCATCCATTTTCCAAGGGTCAAAAAGGAGCGAGGGAGGAGGGGGAAAAAAGGAAAGATCGGCAGCTTTCAGTACCTTCTGCTGATGGATCACTGGATCCAACCCAATGTAGTCCTTACATCGATATTTTGATCCTTTTTCAGAAGACGCTGAAACATTTACATGGATAACACTGATCTGACGTACAGAACAAAATAAATGATGTCCACTTCTTAAGAACATAAGAACATAAGAGATGCCAATGTTGGATCAGGCCAAAGGCCCATCCAGTCCAACACTCTGTATCACACAGTGGCCAGAAATACCAGTGCCATCAGGAGGTCCACCAGTGGGGCCAGGACATTAGAAGCCCTCCCACTGTTGCCCCCCCCCAAGCACCAAGAAGGCAGAGCATCACTTGCCCCAGAGTCCCTATCTATACCTTGTGGCTAATAGCCACTGATGGACCTCTGCTCCATATGCTCCATATGCTTATTTAATTCCCTTTTGAAGCCGTCCATGCTTGTAGCTGCCACCACTTCCTGTGGCAGTGAATTCCAAGTGTTAATCACTCTTTGGGTGAAGAAGTACGTGTCCAACATCTGCCTCCTTTTCCTAACATGTATGCAGTGGGTTGGAGCTGCGGTGGCTCAAGTGGTTAAGACGCTGAACTGCAGGCTGTGGAAGGTCAGTAGTTCAGCAGTTCAAGACCCGGGTGCCGCAAGACGGGGCGAGCTACTGTCTCTAGTTCCAGCTCCTGCCAACCTAGCAGTTCGAAAGCAAGAAATTGCAAGTAGATAAATAGGGACCACTTTGGTGGGAAGGTAACAGCGTTCCGTGCGCCTTGGTGTTTAGTCATGCCGGCCACATGACCACGGAAACGTCTTCGGACAGCGCTGGCTCTTCGGCTTTGAAACGGAGATGAGCACTGCAACCCTAGAGTCAGACTCGACTGGCTTTCGAGCAAGGGAACCTTTACCTTTTATGCAGTGGGTTAGTGTCAACATTAAAGCATATTTCCACATGGCACCTATTCATTATTCTAGTACCCATAGCTTCTAGTACTTTGCATGTTTTACTCGAGCAAAGCTAGTGCCCGTATTATGGCAGCTACAGAATGAAGGAAAAATTGGGAGCTCTACACAGTTCCAAAGCACTTATGAGCTGAGGATGCAAAGCGTAACTAGATGTTACAAACTGCATGGGTTTGCCATGGGGACTTGCAGCTATACTGCAGATGCCAGGTCCTAGTAGCAACTCATGAGTGACAGTGCTACAGGGTCCCTCAGGGTCCCTTGGACTGGGACCACTGTGCATTAGAAGGAGGAATTCCCACCTTCTTCCCTGTGGTGTTGTCAGGCTCCTTAGTTAGTTCACACCACACAGGGCTTCATTAGAAGATAAGTGTTCATTGGTAGATCCAGTACTAAAGAACACGTGTACAGCTTGTGTCAGGAATGGCCGGCTATACTAGGGCCTCTGACTTGTAGTGAAATCAAACATTCACCCTGGAATCAGAGGCCAATGGTTATAGTTCACGCGTGCGGCAAAGCAAGCGAGCAGAGCAGGGAAGCCATTAACTTTCCCAGCCGCGAAAGTAGGAGCTGGAACATCTGCAAGGTCAAGCATAAGATAGCACAAAGTAGCTGGGCAGGAAAGAGCTGAGAATGAGGAGGATCCCCCCACACACACACATTCCAGATCTATGACAGGGCTACCTGACAGGTGTTTTCAGCTGTTTTCAGCTTTCTCCCCACAGAGCAAATAACAATCCCCTCACCATGTCTCACAGGCTTTTCAGCTACAGAAAACAGCACAGAAATCCCTCCTTCTGCAGTACAGTGGTTCTGGATCCAAACTGGAGCCCTGCTGTACGTTTACCCACGAGTTGCCCCTGAAACCAGCAACTACAGTACGGCTGCAAGTCCTTGCGGCAAACTCACACCGTTTGTAACATCTAGTTAGGCTCAAAGGCAGACACTGGAGACCCTGAGCTGGGAATAAAGGTGGCAAAGAAAAGCTTTAAATAATAAATAAATAAACACTAAAAAAGGGCATGCAGCACATTCCACAGCTGCTGGCAAAAGAGGGTACGCAGCAGAAATGGTATACAGGGTATTCACTAGAATGCTGGCTCAACTGTCTTGCTGCCCCCTAAGCTATGAGCACTTATCTGTTCATGTGTCCCCTATTAATGTGGGGAGAGGTGGCACAGAGGATTTATCTTCTGGTTAACATCTGAACTGAACAGAGTTGCTGTCAGTTCTAGCCTGCGCTGGTGTGAGCTACCAGCCTTGTCCCCAGCTCTCCGTCCACCCAGGGGTTCGAAAGCTTCGGCGAGTAGATAAAATGGGTACCACTCCTTAGAGAGGGTGGGCACACTAAACCCCCGTAGGGGAGGTGTTAGCCGGCGAATGGAATGTCCAGCTCGTAAGCTCGTAAGCCTGATAAAAAGACCTCTTCGGCATTAAGAAGCCTGTGATGGGCCAATCCGGCCAGGCGGTGGCAGTGCAGCGCTACGATTCAAAGCAGCCCAGGAAGAACCAATGTCATCAAGTCAAGCCGAAAAGTGAATGCCTCCGGAACATGTCTAAAGCCTACAGCTGAACAAAAATCCCCGTTGGGTGCAAAATGTGTGCTATTTAAAAGAATTATATGTTGTCCTCCCTTACCCCTATGAAATTTTTAGTCCCTTGTGTGAAACCGTGTAACTGTAAATCGTTCAGAGCCAGTAGCTCTGCCGGATTGAGCGATCAATAAATCGAAAGGTATTATTAGTATTAGTATTAATTTAAAGGGAAAAAATGAAACTTCTTTGTTCAAAAGTGCTCTTGGGATTTGACGGGGACATATTTCTTGGTGACATTGGGGGGGGGGGAATCAAACACCACACACAGCCAACATCATCTTCAAACTTTAAAATCCTCATCGCCGGATAGTTCATACAGTGACGACACTCTGCAGTCCTACATCTTTTTGCACGCCTTCAGCCTTGGGCAAGCAAGCATTTGAGGCGTTCCTATCCCTGGCATTCTTTTTTCACTTTTGGTACGCCAGCCTTGCCCTTTCAACTGCCAGTTATGCAAGGGGGTCCCGGCTCTAGGCTTTATTCCACGGCTTGTTTGATGGCAGCGGGGCAGCAACAAGCAGAAGCACGTTTGGTCTCCAAGGTCCAGGGGAAATCAACTAAAAAATAAGAAGGGGATTTTACAAAGAAGAACAGCTGGTAAGTAGGAGTTGTCGCTCGCTGGGATTTGGCAAAGGCTACACGGAGCAGGCATTTTTAATTTCAGGCTGGCAAAAGACACTGAATGGGCTATTTAAAGCCTCCGTCGCCACAAGGAGCTGGCACCGTCAGAAGATGCCACCTTTGCTAAGCCAGGCTGCCAGGAGCCATCACATCCCATGCGGTAGAAGAACAATGCCATCTCCGAACCCATTCAGTTTTCTAGACTTCTGCCATGGTGACTAACAGGAAACAGACTTCGAGGCTGTTTTGTAGGAAGTACAGAGTTGTTAACGCTACTGATTTCTCTACTCGTCTTGCTATTTTAGGTTCTTATTAACCGTGATGTTCTCACTCAACAATATATTTACAGGACCAGATAATTTTAGACTGCCAGAAGCAAATGTCTGAGTTATAGAACTCTTCTTCAAGGAGAGGC